ACAGTCCCGATTGGAGGTTGATCTGGTCGTACGGCGTAATGACGGCTACGGCCAGCGAGCCGAGCGTGAAAAGCCCGAAGGAGATCAGCGCGGCCAGGAACATGGCTTTCGGAAACTGTTTCTGCGGCTCTTTGAGTTCGGGAGCGTGCACCGCGTGCACTTCGACGCCGGCGAAAAGCAGCAGGATACCCGCCAGGAACGCGATGTCGCTCATGCCCGTGATGTGCGGGAAAAGGCGGGGTGCGCGTGCTGCGTCGCGTCGGCGCTTACGACCTGCGAAACGCTCGCCGGGATGTGTTCGAACGCGATTTCATTACCGCCGGCGATCCACGCCAGCGCCATCGCCACGATCACCACGCCCGGAAGCACCGTCCCGATCAGGAATCCCTTGCTCGTCAAGCCGGAAGCGGTCGCCGTGCCCTCAGGGTCACCCACGTGGCCGCCCAATACATGACGATCGAAAACAGTCCGACGAAAACGCCGTTCTGCGCGAGGGCGGGCATCCCGATCATGTAGGCGATCGACGCCGCGGCGAATCCCAGCACGGTGGGATACCATACCACGTTCTGAATCCATTGGAGGAAGATCGCCGTGAACCCCATGTGCGGATTGAAAGCCTCTTTGACCCACGAATAGACGCCGCCGCCCCGGAGGCGAAGGCGCTGCCCAGCTCGGCCCCGACCAGCGCGGCGGGGATAAGGAACAGGAACGTAGCGAAAAAAATGTAGAAGAACATCGTAAGTTCTTCCTGCGCCATCATCGGCAGTCCCGCAGGCTGATTACGGCGGCGGCCGTCATCAGCGCGAGTTGCATGGTCGTAATGTTTTGCTTTTAGCCATCGTGTCGGGAAATTCGAAAATACGTTTTTCGAATCTTTCAGTTTTCGTGCCAAAAGGGGAGCGTTTCGCCGCATTGCGTCTGCTTGCCGGCCCGGTCGTCGGCAATTCGGCGCGTCGGGGCCGGCAAGGGCGCAGGACAGCTTTCGATTCAGGGTATCCCAATACCTCACTGTTAGAAGCTGCAAATGCGCCTTCTTTTATGCTTTTCCCGATTGTAGTGTCTGGTAAGTTGCTGAAAATGTGTTTATAAAATCATTATTCGTCAATGTCGATAATATCTTTTAATTTTACATTGAGTGCAATAGAAATTTTATATAAAGTTCTAATTGTAAAATTGACTTTTCTTGTTTCGATACGCGACATATGCGTATGTATCTATCTATTACTTTGCGGTTATCCTGCTTGTTCTGTCGAAATTCCTTTGAAAAAATCTTCAATGGAGATGCCGAAGTATTTACACAAAATAGACAATGATGTCAATGAAATATTGGATTTGCCGATTTCTATTCTGCCGATATTAATATTGGTATGAAAATAAACTGTTTCTTGGGACAAACCTCGCTCTTCCCGTAGTGCTTTTAGCCTATCGGCGGTCCATTTCAACAATTCGTAATCATATCTTTCCCGTCCCATATTTAACAAAGAACCGGAGAAAATGAGTGTTTTAATAACGACAGTACTGTAATTGTTGGAAAATATATTGTATCTTTGTTTTCAATAAGGAATCATTTTAACCAACATCAAATAAAAAAGTTATGTTATCTTTGTGGAAACATTGTAATACGACATAGACGATAAATTTGCAGTAAAACTGCAAATTATAAAGGGTAAACAACTCTTTATGCCTAACTGTAAACTTAGGAAGCCTCTGTAATGAGGTTGTTTAAATCGGGTATAAAAGTTGCCAGTCCATGTTACGCCTTGACCGTTTGTGTCAAGGCTAACTTGGGCGTAGGGCAATTTTCCGATTTAAGGTTTCCTAAGACCTACAGTTAGAGAATATAGTCCCTGCGCCCTCTTTTGTTGAAAGTTTGCCTGAATCAATATTCAAGGTTTGGTCTGAGAATATGTCGTAACGTCATTGTTTCTTCGTATTGAAAGAACGAATGCAACGTTGCAATGATTTTACGGTTGGCGGCTCAGGCGGTTGTATTCGGCAATGCGGTCGCAGCAGATTTTTTCGGTGATGTCACGCAGGCGTTCGACTTTAGGCATAAGGGCGTCGATGTCTTCTTTCGTGACGACGAAATCGTCGTTATACCGGGCTTCGACGTAGGCGCGTTGCAGCAGTCTGAACAGCCGTTCTTCTTCCGGGGTGTCACGCGGAAAGACCTTCGACAACTCCAGCGTGTAAGGCTTGCATTTTTCTATCAGAAGTTCGAGGTCGTGTTCTTTGTGCCCGTAGAGAATGTAGACCAACGGGATCGTTTTTATAAAATTTTCGGTTGCTTGATGAAGTTGGAATGAAGCGATAACGTACCACTCTTTTAAATAGTTGATTTAGCCGTTTCGAAAAAACGCGATGCCTCGATAAATCTGTTATTATAGTATTTTTGCGCCATTTTTCTGATCTCCGGATAATTCAGATCGCGCGGCGTAGCTAATTGGTATTCCCCCGAATCGTAGAGTACGATACCCTGCGCCAGAATATCGACGTAGAAATAACGTCCCTCGGAAGTGCGTTATTCAGTTTGGAAATACTTTCGTTGATGAATTGCGGATGCGTGTGAAACTCCGCATCCTTGCCTTCCAGAAAGCGGTTGCCGATACGGGCGGTCGCGGTGGACTCCCTGACTCCCAGCCGCTTTTTCGTGACTACCAACAGGTCGTAGTCGCTGATGTAAAACGTTCTCACGCCGAAGTCGCGGCGTTCGTCGCACTCGACGTAGGTGTTCCGGGCATAGCTGCGTAAAGAATAACCATCACAACGTCCTTCACTTCGTCGCGGATCAGGCGGACGAGTTCGTGCAAATCGCGTTGTTTGCGTTCGGGCAGGAAGTCGATCGAGTTCTTCATACTCACAAAATTAGCAAGAAATTTCCAGAAATACATACCCGGCGCGGTTAATTGATTTTTATTCGTATCTTTGTTTTACGGTTTCTTAAAGCGGATTCGTTGTACAGGGGGCGGCTCGTGCCGTCCGGGAACGAACCTAAAAAGCAATTACTATGCAAACTTTAAGGAACTACGACGATTCGGCATAGCCGAAGGACATACTATAAAGGCAAACAACCTTTATACCTGACAGTGAACTTGGGAGCCTTTTCGGAGGTTGTTTAATCTGGGTATAACAGTTGTCAGTCCTTGTTATGTCCTGCCCTTAACGGGTAGGGCAGACAAGGGCGCAGGACAGCTTCCAGATTAAGGTTCCCAAGACCTGCTGTTAGGGGCTGCAAATGCGCCCTCTTTTATGCCTTTTTCCGAACAGCTTCGGATTTCATCGGGCGCAGTAACGATCCGTTTTTTTAACTATTCGCCTTATGAAAAAAATCATTCAATCCCCTTCGTGGGATCGCATCGTCACGATACTTAAAAACGAAACGTTGTGCGTGAACGAGCTGGCCCGCCGCATCGGTCTGGAACGGCCGCACATGATCGAAGCCGCGAAAGACCCCGCGACGGGAATCTGTCCCGAACTGGCCGCGCGGATTCACTACGCTTTCCCGGCGTACAGCGTCGAATGGCTTCGCACGGGGCTGGGCCCTCACCCGGCCACGCGCGAGGAAGCGCACCCGCAGGCGGAGGTATCGCTGTCGGGGCGCTGGGCATTGCTTCGTACCGAGCACTACTGGAGCGACGGCCGCCGTCCGGGCGCGTGGCTTCCGGGCGAGATTTTCGAACCGGCGTCGTCGTGTGGTTTTCGGCCCGGACGGTCTGCTGGACCGTTACGAATCGTATCTGAAAGTCGCTACGGTTCCCTACGCGTTCGACCGACCGCGCGGGTGGCTGTTGCACGAAGGCCGCCCGGTGCTGGTCGATAAGCTGACCCGGTCGAACTGGAGTTCCTCGACTGGTCGGACATGGGGACGAGCCCCGTCGTGCGTTTCGTATTCAAAAGGAGGAGTTCGTTTAGCGCCGGGAGCGCGCAAAAGAAGACCCTGCGGCCGCAATTCCCGTTGCGGCCGCAGGGCTTCCTGCGTTTCGGTCGTCTGAAATCCGGCCGTACGGCGCGTCTGTGCCCGTGCGACCGGACGGTCAGCGGATTTCGTTCCGTCCGCTGCGAAGCGTCAGGGTCCGGTCGCCGTGGCGGTAAGTTCTTTCGAGTCCTTCGGGCAGGACGATCGCCCCGTTCTCCCGGAAAAGCCTCGCCCGTACTTCGTCCTGCGAATATTTGCAGGCGTTGTCGATCTGTTTTTAGATGCAATTTTTTTGCAACTGATAATTTTTATATTTATATTGCGATAGATATGGAACGAAAAACGGGTATAACTCAGGCAATCAAGACTGCGGGACTGAAAGTCACCCCGCAGCGCAGGATGGTTTACGAGGTGATGCAGGAGCTGCGGCATGCTTCCGTCGATACGGTTATCGAGAAAGTGCGCGAACGCAATCCGGATATCACGGTGTCGACTATTTACCGGATTCTGGATTCGTTTTGTAGGGCGAAGGTGCTCTCTTCGGTCGGCAATCCCGCCGATGGGAAACATTATTTCGACATAACGGTCGGGAATCACCATCACCTGTTCGACGGACAGAAGATTGCGGACTACGACGATCCGGAGCTTACACGGCTGATTTATCGCTATCTGGCAGGAAAATTGCCCGGCGACACGAATATCGACAAGATACAGGTGCAAATTATTATTAACCATTTAAAATCCGAATGATTATGGAAAAGAAAAAAATGACTACGGCTTCCGTCGTCCAGTGGCCGATAACCAGAACGTACAGACGGCGGCCGGCCGGGTCCGATGCTTCTGCAAGATCCCTGGTTTTTGGAAAACTTTCGCATTTCGACCGCGAGGTGATCCCGAACGGCGTATGCATGCCAAGGGTTCGGGCGCTTACGGTACGTTCACCGTGACGCACGACATTACCAAGTATACCCGCGCCTCGATCTTCTCGGAAGTAGGTAAGAAAACGGAATGCTTCGTGCGTTTTTCGACCGTCGCCGGCGAGCGCGGCGCAGCCGATGCAGAGCGCGACATTCGCGGTTTCGCCATGAAGTTCTATACCGAAACGGGCAACTGGGATCTGGTGGGCAACAACACCCCGGTTTTCTTCCTGCGCGATCCGCTGAAGTTCCCCGACCTGAACCACGTCGTCAAGCGCGATCCGCGCACCAACATGCACAGCGCCAACAGCAACTGGGACTTCTGGACTTCGTTGCCGAAGCGCTTCATCAGGTGACTATTACCATGAGCGATCGCGGTATCCCCGCTTCGTACCGCCACATGCACGGTTTCGGCAGCCATACGTTCAGTTTTATCAACAAGGACAATGTACGCACCTGGTGAAATTCCACTTCAAGACCCTGCAGGGGATCAAGAATCTTACCGACGAAGAAGCTATGGAATTGATCGGCCGCGACGGGAATCGCATCAGCGGGACCTTTACGAAGCCATCGAGCGGGGCGACTTTCCGCGCTGGGAACTCAAAGTACAGTTGATGACCGAGCAGGAGGCCGACGGTTACCGCATCAATCCGTTCGACCTGACTAAGGTATGGCCGCATGCGGACTTTCCGCTGCACGATGTCGGCGTGTTGGAACTCAATCGCAATCCGGAAAACTATTTTGCCGAAGTCGAACAGTCGGCCTTTAATCCGATGAACGTGATCGACGGTATCGGTTTCTCGCCCGACAAGATGTTGCAGGGCCGCCTGTTCTCGTACCGCGATGCCCAGAACTACCGCCTCGGGGTCAACCACGGTCAGATTCCCGTGAACCGTCCCCGATGCCCGTTCCATTCGTACCACCGCGACGGGATGATGCGTACCGACGGTAACAATGGCTCGGCGATCGGTTATGAGCCCAACAGCTACGGCGAGTGGCAGGACAGCCCCGAAATGAAGGAACCGCCTTTGAAGCTGCACGGCGACGCTTACAACTACAACGAGCGCGAATACGACGAAGATTATTACAGTCAGCCGGGCGATCTGTTCCGATTGATGTCGCCCGGACAGCAGAAGGCGCTGTTCAAGAACACGGCGGCCAACATGGGCGACTCGGAACTGTTCATCAAGCAGCGGCACGTACGGAACTGCCATAAGGCCGATCCGGCTTACGGTCGAGGCGTGGCCGAGGCGCTGGGTATTTCGCTGGAAGATGCGCTCCAATCGGCAAAGTAATATTGTGAGAACGAATTAATCTCTTTTCCTGACGGGTATGCTGGTGGCGCTACTCGTGGCCGGGGCCCATCACTGACAAAATCGATGCTATTATTTTTACTGCAAACGGGGGTACAAATTTGTACCCCCGTTTGCAGTAAAATGCTCCGTCCTGCCGGCTTTCGAAAGGCGGTATGCCTCCCCGATCCGGCTCAATGGAAAGCGGTGCGTAATGAGCGGCATGGTGTCGATCTTGCCCTGTCCGATCGGGCGCAGTCGCAGCCATCCATGCCGCCGATACAGAAGGTGAGGTTCTTGCCATACATATCCGCTAAAAGCAGTGTCTGCGGCCGGTCGTAAAATGCCACTGCGGTGACGACGACCTTGGGCCGAACGCACTCCCAGGGCAAGTGGAGCGTATCGACGGCTCCCGCCGCTTCCAGCGCCGCGTCAGCCCTTCCGCGATCGCTGTGGTGCAGTGCGAAATCTCGGCATACCTCCGGTTCGGTAACCAGCGCATCGGAGTAATATTCCCGCACGAAACGAATCCGTTCGGGCGACTTTTCACAGACGATGATGCGCCGGGAGTATTTCAGCAGCACGCAGAGTAGGGTGCAGTTCACAAAGCCGGGGCTTTATCGGTATAACGTTAAAATCTGTTAGGGCTCTGTGAAATCGCCGTTTTTAAATCTGAGTATTTAGGATTATAAGCGCATTCGGTCACATTCC